GGCCATTGATGCAAGTTTTGGAAACCACAGGGACCATGTTCGTCAAAAAAATTAGCAGGGACTGACTTTGTGACTTTTGGCAAACCATAGGGACCATTTTTGTAATTTTGTCTAATTTTAATAAAAAGATTTGATCAGATTTGTAAAAATAAAAAAATAACAATTACGAGGCTTACTTTTAAAAATCTATTGAGATTAGAAACAGTGGAATGTTGTTTTCGTTGTAAAAATACTATGACCATCGGAGAAGAATTACTATTTTCACGAATTATTATTATATTTTTATAAATGTGATGTAGAATTTTGTTAAGGGTTGAAGATGGTGGAAGATACTTGTAACATTTAATTATTGTTGTATTGGTTAGATTTTAGATTGGATTTTTTAAAAGCATTTTTGGTGGTTCGAAATGATTCTTCAAGAGGATGGTTTGTTAATAGTTGCTTTACTCACGGCCAAGCTGAATACCAAACAAAATGGTTAGGATATCGTTCATGGAAATTGAGGCATAAGGTAAGGATCTCCTTATACACATGTTCTCTTGTGGTCTATATTTCTATTAGTCAGTCACATAACACATCTTTTGTAGGCTATTGCACAGTCAGTTGGTGATTGGTTTTACGATAGAAGCATAGTCCGAATAAGCGATCGCCAAAATCTCTTGCCACACTATTGCATCAACTAACCCATTTCTTATGTATAAGTTCTCTTGGTATGAGCCAAATAATAAAACGATAATAATAATTATAAACAAATTCATAGATGTAATACATGTCTAAAAGTATTCAAATAACGAATTTGAAATATGTGTTGAATAAAAAAAATTGTGGAATATGATTTATTTTAACTTCGATGAAAATGGTAGATTGCATGTCGATTATTTGAAGCAACCTTGCTTACATGATTAAAGAACAAACTATGTGAAATCAGTTACATAATCAATCGAGATGGACAAAATCGGTTGGCTTGCAGTTGATAATAGATTGTATTTGGTATCCATGGCGATACATATATATTCCAATTTGTCATTTATCCAAAATTTCACTATGAGTAGAAATGGTACAGAGTGCTTCAAATCTCCTTTCAACCGATCAGAATGATATTATAAAAAATATTCATAATGTAATCAATTGTATTTAAAGGTTTCAACATCATGCATCATGATGTGTTTCTCTAAAGGATAAGTTCTCGATTGTAATTCTGATCTTGATTTGACTTGTTCATTGTTTGACGTCTTTTTTTATTTTTTCCGATATGCTGTTATACATAGACAATTTCTGCAATTTCGATATTACATAGTGCCTATGTTGTAATACCGTTATCACATAAGGATTATATATGTAATTAATTCTTACATGGACCATTTCTGTAATTCTTAATTTCTACCGTTTTTGTAACTTTTTAAATCTTATAGGGACCATTTCTGTAACTATTTTGTCAGGGACCATTTCTGTATATTATGGTTTTACCTATGGACCATTTATGTAACTTTGTGATTAGGTATTTTTTGTAATTTTTTGATAAGTAGAATATTTTCCTTATTTATTTTCTTTTAACTAATATATGACTAAGATAATTAATTTGAGTTATATTTGTACTTTTAACGGATCCAAAGCAATAAAAAGAGCTTGTAGCATCAATATGTAATATATGATGTATAATATTACTTGAGGACATAACTGGTTATATTGTGGATTATCTTTTATAAATTTGGTTTTGGTAGTGGTCAAAACACTAAATATTTGGGGTGCAAAACCCACATGCCAAGCCTTGAACCACGCGTGTCGAGTGCATCATTTAGTGGAGGGTAGTGGTATGCATCGGTATCCATATAAATAAAATAATTAATATTAGAATTAGAATAATAACAAACAGAAATATCACATCATAGATAAAAGGAAATAATCTAATTTTTGAGTATTTGTCAAATTGATCTCCATTTTCGAGATGGACCATTTTGGATCTTAGTGTTGAAAAAGCCACAGATTTTTCTCTCTACCAAACATTTCCAAAAAACTTCTTTGTCTCTAGTATAATCGTTTTTTTTTTTAACTAAATGTCTTTTTTATGCATTTATTACAATCTACTCCATCTTTTTCAGGTTCTTTAATTTTTTGTTAGGTCTAGGATATGTTCTTAAAATTTCAGAATACGAAATATTATTTATTATTACACCTTTTTCAATTTAACGAGACTTTTTGTATTTTTATCGTAATCTATCTATTTCGCTTTTGCCGTGATTTTTTTAACTTTTTGTTATTGTTAGATTTCAGTATAAAATGAACATACTTTTTTCTTCGAATATTGAACATGTTCTTCTTCCTGTTTGAAATCCAACATATATTTATGATTTTACAATAATTATATCTTAATATTTTTTACTAATTTAACAAAAGTAAATAAATAAGCAGAAGCAATTTTCTTAGTTCATCATATCATATCTTTTAAAGTTTGTTTCATATTATGAATGTGAATTTACTTTTAAAAGTGACCAATATATATATATATA